TGGATGAGAAATAGAACTGGAGGAGGATTCCGTGAGAAGACTATCACTATCAAGTCCGTTATTCCTTTCAATCTCATAATTATCTTCTTTCTCATTCTCATCATCCTCCTCCTACGATATCGGACGGAGATGAAAGTAAGAATGGGAAGCAAGTTGAGTTAACGGTGAATAAATGAGCCAGACCTCTTCATTCTCAAACTCTCCTTCCTCCTCCTCGTCTTCCTCTACGTCATCATTATCCTCAATTGATTCCTCGTCTTCGGTCTCTTGTTGACTGATGCTCATACTCTGGCCGGAATGGTCAGAGGAGGCGCCAGCGTGGGATTGAGGGGGAGCCGCGCTGACACAACGTGTTGTAGGATCCGGCGGCACCAATGGCCACTCCGGCAGCTCCTTATATTTCGCCATATCGCGACCTAGCAGCTGCGACATGGAACCCAGTCGGAATGTCGGACGATCTGTAGACCAAAGACCACATTTGACATCAACAAATGGAATGAATGAATGAACGAACACACAAACACACGCACATACCAGCGAAGGTGGAACGAAGAACTGGAGCAGGTTTGGTGGCCAAGAGGATTTTTTTCACGTTTCGAGTGAGGTATGAGAGTTCGGGTTTCTGCAAAGAAGAATGTCAATGTCATTAAGAATCAGTAGTGAAGTAAGTGAATCTTAGATCGTCGTACTACTAACAGCGGGGTCGATCGGTTTTGGAAAGATGAGGGCCCTGAATACGCGGGAGCGGTCCCGAACGTCATAATTTTGGTCGTATTTGGCCAACGTGAAAACATACTGCGCAATTAGTAGGGTTTGTTTGGGATTCACTATAGACAACTTGGCTGCAAGGTTGAGGATCTACAGGTAAAACAACAGGACGTAGAAAGTCAGCGGGAGGAAAGCAAATTTTCATCGAAGACGAAGGAAGTGGAGTAGAAGGGAGGCTTGACCTGAAGCTTGACCGCGACATGCTCCTTGGGAAAAGATTTGGCCATTTTGCGGAGGACATCTGGAGCAATTTTAGGAACACGGTGACCGTATTCTCCCAACATCCACAAGATTGATGCCCTGGCCGAGGGGACAGTGATTTCCTCCGCCATTTGGGCGATGTGGGCAATCACATCCTTGTGATCCGTGGTCTGCACACAAATGGCAGCAACAATAATAACAGAGCATACAGCGTCGTTCGCATTCAGTACATACACGCACAAACACACCCCACCACCACTCCCACAGGTAGGAAGAGCGTCCTATTTTGATACAAACAAAAGAGCTGAATTTACGCCATTAGAATATTCAATAAGGCCTCTATCAAGCAGTCTACTGAAAAGTTCAACTAAAGAAAGGATCAATGAAATGTGTCTAGAGATGGCAGCACAGAGCAAAAACAGGAGCAGCAAATGCAAAGCACAATCACCGAGTAGAAGAAAAAGGAGTTCGCATAAAGGTCCAAAAAGTACACCACCACGTTGTATTAATCAGTCACCTTATTCAATAAAACACTTGCAGAATTTCAGATGGGAAGACATTCAAAAGCTAATCTTTTAATGCGATCCACAAATATCGACAAATCATGGAAGGCAGCACTACTTGTTTGTATCAAAAGCACTTGAATGACACTGGTAGGTGGATCACGAGTGAAAAAAAGAGTGAAAAACCATACCCAGTCTGAACGGCCAGAGAGCTTACCAAACAAACTCGCTTTTTACGTTCCTTCGAGCTAAACTAGGCGGAAGATAAGTCGGGAGGAGGAGAAGTACAGATGAAAGTGTACAGTCACAACAACTCTGCAGCAAAAGTTAGACTTACCTGCATTTGTAAAAGTTTGCGCATCACCACTACGCTCTCAGCCACAAGATTCTCTAGAGTAAGGCGAGAAGGAAAAAGGAATTTTGCGAATTTAAATGTCGCCTTTCAATGCAGAATCTGGTATTACCGGCAACCTACCATTTTTACGGGATACCAAGCGCAGTAGTCCTGTTAAACAGGTCTCAGCAATCTCCGGCACCATGCTAGCACACCGGCCGATGCATTGAACTGTCGCCAGCACAAAAGCCTCGTCTGATGAGTCCACGTAAGCCTGGAGCAAGCATGCAAACATGAGACCGATTGCCTACGATTCCATCCATACTAACCACTAACACTACTATTACCACCACCACCACCACCATTAGTAGCAATAGTATTATTATTACTGCTTTGTTATTTGCACCCACCACCAAGGCTGAGTCCTTGCTTTACTAACTATGCGAATTCAATTTTGTAAAAAAAAAAAAACAATTTAGAAAACTTGTCCTACTTCACCTGGAACTCGCGAAGAACAGTCGAACTGGTTGAGGTATTGACAAGGTTGGTAAGAATCTCAAGTTTCAAAAGTTTGACCTGTATGGGATCGTTGTTGAATACGAAGAACATGCGCAAGTGTGGTTCAAAGAGATTGGGATGGAGTAAGCTCATTGAGGCAATGTTTGAGAGCACGACGTGTTCTACTTCTCTGGCAACAGATGAAACAATTGCAAGTTTCAATGTATTTATTAAATAAAAAGGAGAGAAGCACATCTCAAACCTCCCGTTTTTCCTCTTTGTGTACAGTTTGTCTAGAAATGTCAGGTAGCTGATGAAACACTCTCACCGCGACTTGCTGCAACAATTGCACAACAAATCCAAACACCTTTTGCAAAAGTTAGCGATCTGCATATTGCCATTCAATTGGTGCAATGTACTGTTATAAATAAGTTAACAATTTGCAAATTGATGACATTTGAAGAAATAAATGCATCATCCTGCCAAAGCAAAACCAATCACTGCATTATTGTCACACCAATGAGCCTCTCTGACTCTCCGTGGACTGACTTAACAGCAGTAGTTCGCTCATCACTCCCGAGATGATAAAGCGGAACGGAATAGTAAAAAAAAGATGTATCATGAAAAAAACTTACTTTGTAGAGCGCAAAATACGTAGGAGAGCCTTCACTACAGCGTTCATTTCCTCTTTCGGTGCACAGTGATAGAAGAGTTGCGCCACAGCGACAACAACCTAAAGGTCCAATGCAAAAAGTTTACAGCTTACGGCGGCATTGTGACTCAGCAGCAAGAGTCGACTGGCTGTAATGAGCAGTTGATAATCAGAACGCAGCATAGTTTCCATTGCAGAATCAATGGAACTCCCAGACCGCTTCTCATTTGACATCGCGTTATCACTTCCAGCAGTATCCTCGTCATCATCCTCTTCGTCTTCCAAACTCACGGCACCCACTCTTTCCTCTCCCGGTGGTCCAGACTTGTTGTGACAAATAGTCAGTGCAGCATCGCCACTCGCACCAACGGTAGATGTGCTCTCCTAAACAACAAGCGTACACTCTGCTCAATGGCAGTTCAAAGTCTTAAAACTTAACCTATTTTCACCCAATATCATTGTAGTCGTACTGTAATCTGCGACTATCAGCCAGAGTCCCTTCTCCTAGACTATATTTGTGGTGCCAAAACAAAGCTTAGCTCAAAGCTTCCCGGGGGTGTCAGTTCGCTTCAGTTTGCACAATGTCATATGCTTTTAACAAACAAAGTGATGTCATGAATGAATGTATAACCTTCCAATTCAATGACTTTGTGTCGGCAGTAAAATGCAACATAAAGACAGCGTTTACATTGTAGTACTTATAGAAACGAATATTGACAAATCATAAATGCCTATATTATTCAAAAGCAATTTGTCTAACAAGAGAAAATGAGGCAGTTCTAATTACTCCATTTATCTTACTAAGTTTAACAACTACCCTTCAAGGTTGTTATCGCCAAAAAGTAACGATGACTATTCCACTCTAAAGGTACTGCTCAGTGAGAGCTTACCAAACAGGTCTTTGGGTTAGGGAATTGTGTACGTGCGTATCGAGTTAACATGTTGATAATCGCGATTTGGCCCCATTCGTCAACATCCATTAGGAGATTGCACAATTTTCGATAGTGCCTGCATAATTAAAATACAACAGTAAGGGCAGAAAGACATCGTCCAATGGACTTGTATGATAGCCGGAGACATTGATGCCAAAATAACTTAATCAACAAACTCGTCCAAAATTTTCATTGTTATTTTACGAAAGAGCTTATGGCAATAGGAATATATTTACAAGATAAGGAGAACTAAACATGGCGTCCAATAAATGACCATGAAACACACTTGTGGATGAGATCCAGACGCTCGGGACAGACCTCTTCGAAGGCCTGAACTGCACTACCGACAACAACAGTTGACTTATCCTCTAGGAGCTTGCTGATTAGTTCCACCAAAGACTCCTTTTCCCCTGGATCAAGACTACAAATAATCATAAAAAACAGTTACGAAAGTGCTACCTAATTAAAGAGATTTATAAAATCTACTTGCCCGTAAAGCTTGGGTATAGCGTGTGCAACAGTTTTGCGCACGTACGGCGACAGGTCGACGACTCCATCACGAACAGCCAACATAAGGATTGGGGCGATAACAGGAATGCGAATGGATGAGAGCACCCTCAAAGCCGAGGCACGTACTAACTGATTGGCATCCTATATAGGCAAAAAAACTGCATCCAGTCCTCTGATTGCAGGGGAAATTAACTTAAACAAGAGCCCAAACCTTGAGGGAGCGCTGAAAAGTAGAGACAGAGAGGAGGGCAAGATCCTGCTGCTCCTCAGCATAGCGTGTCAGGTAAACGTAAACCAACTTCCTGACCTGAAAATACAAACCACAAGGGTGAACGACATTGCAAAATGGAAGTTGAGGAAAGAAGACTGCATTACCTCTGGATCCTTGGAGACAACATTCTTTACGACTGCGGGAAAGAGATCAGAGCACTCTTTCCCCTTCGCTACCATCTAAAAGAAAATTTAACAGATGGAAATCTTTTAAATCAACAGTACCCATCTAAAGTTAAATCAACTTACAGCAACAACACGCCGCATAGCAGTCAACTTGAGGTTATCTTTATTACTGTCAAGCATCTTTTTGATATCCTCATTTCTACAAAGCATATGAGTTATATATGAGCTGTAATAAGAACGATGGCAAGCGGCAAGCGTTCAAATTCACTTCTGATAGTCCGAACAAAATATCATGTTCGACGCAGGATCCAGGCCAACTTCGAAGTCAGAAGATAAGGATTGGAGTCCAGGCGTCTGAAATCCATTACTTTCAGCAAGTATCTAGAATACAAGCGAAACATTCGGAAAAATGAATACGGAAAAAATAATGGTAATCTTTTAAAACATAACACAAAGTGAAAATCAGGCGAGACGGTTATATGCTACCCAGCAATGAGATTGCGAAAAAAACCTTTGTCCATGACAATGATGGAACCAATTAACAGCATTGGACATTAGATTTCATAAAGGTAAATCCACAAAATGCACCCGCATAAGCACCTGCAAAGAGGGTGACATGACGTCGCAGCACTGTGTGCAAAATATGAAGAGATAAAGATCAGCAGTAACCGCCTTTTAGAAAAACACGACAACCTCCAGAAAATTCCGAAAATGTCTTTTACCTTTTGAGCGTAAAAAATCGATGTCAACGCATCCACACAAATTGTATAATGTCTAATTCCTAGTACTCAACAAGTAAACTCGCATAGAATACGGACAGCCAGTAAAAGACATACCTCTGACGTCTGCATTCCAAAACCGGCGGAAGCTGAATTCATAGGCGGCTATATCTCAAGGTTATTGTAAGGCTCCGTATAGTCTTAATTTGACGTTCAAGTTTAATCGATCAGTATTAAGACTTTTTTACAAGAAATACACAAAATGATAAATGTCCCTCTGCTTTGATTCCTTAATCGTATCAGAAATCAAAGACTACGAACTTGAATGAGACCCACATCATAATGATTTAGGAAAAGGCAGACACCATAGTGCTGAGGAGACCTATCGACACCCAACCAGCTCACCTCCCTCCTCCAAAAGCGGCAATAAAACCCGAGACGCGCCAACCGTTGCCCCGACCCCGCCTTAGTGCGTCCAAAAATCAAGTTAACACAATGGAGAATATCAAAACACCACTCAAAGATGGCAAAGCTAAGCCTTCACAACCCACTAAAGTACGCTGAAGAATCCAAATATCACCTCAACTCTGTCTCATCCTTGGCGCCAACATCGCGAACCATCCTCCGAAGAAGGGATGGCGAAAACAATATGAGAAACAAAGCGGATGCGAAGGCAAAAATGGTGATTTGCCCGATTTGTCAGACAGCATCAGCAGAAGGAAAGGAGTGATCATTACAAAGGGAGTTCGATGAGGAAGTTATGGTCTGAACGAGCGGATTTACCATTAGAAGGCTTTGATGGTCCGTGACGTCAGGACCGCCATCGGATGTAGAATGGTCGTTCGAAACCTGAGTTGTCAATCCGGCACTGAAAAATTTACAAATTTGCCTTCAAGTGCAGGCGACCACCGCCTCCGAAAAAAACACCCCTCTCATTACACTCAGGCTCGAGAGATGTATAGGGATTAAGACAAACGGCAAAGCATACCTGTTCTCAGACGCACTATGCAGAGGTGTTCGATTGATTGTTGATTTTCGCACAACTGGGAGACGTAAAACAGTACCAGGGATGATGAATTTGTCGCCAGAAAGGAGCATGCGGTTAAGGAACTTCAGCTGACCGACCTAAAAACAAAAATCTGACCGAATAAATAGAAAGCGACCTCAAATTCATAAACGAAACTTGCAAAATCAAGGCCCATAGTGGCGCAGTACAGTTTTTATAAAGCACATTTCCTACGTACAGAAACATCATTTTTAACCGCAATAGAAGTGAGGGTATCACTGGCGTCAACAACGTAAGTGACGAAAGACTGATTGGATTCACTATCGGGGTTTCCACAAAGCGTGCCATAACACTTCGGTCGGGAGCATTGCTGCAATATCCATGTTTCTTCGGTCATGTGGTACGTTGATACCTAAGAAGCATACGAAGATTACAAAACACAAATAAAACTACTATGGGCGCATTTAAAAACTAGGTTAGACGGGGTTTAAATAAAGACAAAGTAGAAAGTTGAGCAATTATAAACTAACTCTTTTTGCTAATACCATAAACGATACCAAACGAATACAGGGCTTAAATATAGCAGCATCTCATAAAAACCAGTCAAAATGCATGAAAAAAATAATGTAGCAAAGAGAGAAGTGTGTAAATCCACTAGCCCCCAAGGTGCAAATAGCAAGGAGCATACTCGACAAAATTTGTGAAAACCACCATTAAATATATAAAATTTCCGACAAATGAATCGCTCGTACGCTGCACTACGAGGCGTTATAATCCTGAAACTGAATAAAACACGAGAGCACCGGTGCGACTGCAGGTAACGATTGAAAAATACGATACCGAATAAAAACATCTAAACGAACACAAACGATTAATGGGACGCCAAAGTTCAAAGATCGACGCTGTAAAAAGCTTATTCAAACCAAACCATAGGTGCATATCAAACTAAATGTTTTGGAAATATTTTCAACGAAAAACAAAAGAACACTTTAATAAACGCTGCTTGCAAACAATCTAAAAGCATTTGTCGGTTTTTAAAACATAACTGCAATACTTTTGTCAAAAATATCTATTCCATACAATTTTGAAGTTCCGAAGCATTTATGATGTGTTTTGTGTGTTTTTTGTCCTGACAATGGATAGTCTTGGACAACCTTGGACATTTTGCATCGCCACACTCAAGCTTCCCTTTACTTTGTGGGAGATGCCTACAAAAGCTCTTCATCGCAACCTTCAAGTTACAAATACAGAAGTACACCAGAATTGGGATAGGGGGGCGACACTATAATATAAAAACGGGGATCGTTTTATCAGCACTATCTCCTCATCTCTACTCTTAGATTCACTTCATTTGTAGTCCATGACTGTTACAGTCTAACACTTTCTTCGAAACCAAAACAACGAGCGTTAGGTTCCTCTTCTCAAAGATACTTTAAGTAGTTTTATACATGACTGCCTACGTGTGTAGTAGTTTGAGAGATGATCAGTCTGCTACATGCAGGTTGAGCGACCAAATATATCCTAGCCTTTCTGCTTGCCATTTTGAGCTTTTTTTGTTGTAATATATCGTATACATGAAGATTCGAATCCTGGCGGACACTTTTGTGCTCATTTCTGAACAGGCTACTGAGTCAAGCTGAAGCCTCTATTTATTACCCTCCTTTACGACTGCATGTGTTCTGCTCAACGTAATGCTTTCTTTTTGAGGTTCTACATTTTCCCACTTGAATTGGGACACTGCTGATATCAGCTTATGATTGCAAAACATGGCTTGCACTGCAATCGCAACCGGTGTTTGGTAAAAAATCGGTGGTAATCGACGAGAGTTTTGCTTCCTTTGGATTCCAGTTGAAAAAAAGTGCATTAATAAATCTAGAACAAAGCACGAGCTAAGGGCATTTGTCAGTCCCAAGGGGCCAGCGATGCATTTTCGAAAACGGCGTCTAGCGGTAGCGGGAAGGCGGAGTCCTATGCACCTTTAAAACCACAACAGCGTCGTATTGGTGGGTTAAAGCATAACCCAACAACCTCTATGCTCCTTCTAATGCTTACAAACTACTTGAAGTCGCTTTGATTAACGTCGTATCTTCGCATTTCTATCTACCTTACTTCCTTCCCAGACCTTAGTATGCATAAACCGTACCTCTCAAGATGGCGTACGGGGTTTTTCCACAACTTGGTCTGCCTTCTTATGATTTCACTTGAAGTGTACGAAATGAGTATGAAGACTCGCCATGCGTGTGTGCGACTTTCAAAATTCACATTATTGAATCCGAAGATCGGAAGGATGTCTACTAATGCGTAAATTATCGACTCAGCAGTGGTGACATGAAGGGAGGAAAGACAAAGGATCCAGGTACATAAATAAATGCATATAAAGCCAATCTGTGCATGACTTGATTGTTGGTACAGGCAATAGCCGCCTTTCTGCTTCGGTTGTGGCTAAGTGGTGGCGGGTCGTTGACATTGAGCAAATAGTGAGGGGATTTCTTCGATGGAATGACAAGATAATACAGATGACATGGGGTGAATGAGCATCAAGAAAGGCGTTAAAAATAGAATCAGAAGCAGGAAGTCAATGAGCATCTGTATCTGAATCTGTTGGTATGGACTCGGTCTGAAATAAAAATACAAAGTTAACTGTTAATTTCTCTTTCTCTCTCTCTCAGCCAATCACGAAGGAAGGTGGAGGTGTGCTTACATCTAGGATACTGGAAGCGTCCATGGAGGCTCCGTTGACCTTGCAATTGAGGTCGGCAGCACTAAGCCAGGGTTTGTCGAGACCAAAGACCTCTCCTCCACCGACGCAAAGACCGCTGGATGCTCCTAAAGCTCCATCATCTGCCTCCGTCTTCCCCAATGCCCTTTTATCGTCTCCACCGCCATCCACCAATGCGACACTGTGTACAGGCAAGCATCTTTGTCGATCACAGGCTGCTTTTAAAAGTTGGCGCTCGATCACATCTACTCGTCTCTCCTTTTCTGATAAGCTGTCTGCGATGTGGTCGGTCAACTCCATCGCCAGATTCTCCATGCTCTGTACACAGGCAAGATAGTAAGTAATGGCACAGTGATTCAATCCTAAAGGATTGTCAAAGGAAAACTCACACGTCGCATCTGAGAGGTGGTAATACTGAGTGAAGTGGAGACAGAGGAGTTAAGAGTGGTCGTATCTACAGACAATCCCAAAGCCGGGGATCGTGATGTGGCGCTGACAGTGGAGGAGGGTGGAGCAAGTGCTACAGACGCAGCCGATGGAGATGTAGGTGGAGGGAGAAGTGCGGGTAGACGTGACGACGTTAGTGGAGGTGGCGCATGACGACAATGACGTCGCCCAGGCTGCTGACGCAGACGCGGTGAGGATCGAAGCGATACACTCAGCGTTGGCCCCTGTGCCGAGGGCAGACACGGCGGGCACGGTAGCTCCATCTTTACTCCACCATCATCCGTCCGATGCAACCTTTCAATTGAGACACCATGCGTCGGCAACAAGGGCTTTGAGCGTTTGGTGTGGTACCTAATCCAGAAACACCCAGTCATTATGGCATGACGATTGAGAGAAGAACAGTTCCTTTGACACAACTGAAAAGCTGATCTTACGTGTCGCCAGACTGAGGGCGTGAATTGAGATGCTGAAATATCACCGTAGCCTTGCTTCCATTGAACCCTCCACTCTCCGAAGAAAGCGAAGACGAAATTGAGAAGCTTTGTTGACACTTGCTTAAATGTTGTTGCTTCTCAAAAAACATGCTTAATCGCAAATTCTTCAGTTCAGGAGAATTGTGAGTGTTTAGGGGAGTGAGTGGTTGGGGCACATCCCCCATAGGATTGCCAGAACACCACGAACTTCGTCTCAACTTTGACACCTCCGAGTGCTCCTCAACACGCTGACACAAATTGTCTCGTGAGGCTGAGAAATGCAGAGAGGAATCGGCGACTGCTGGGCTATACTGAGTAACCGCTGCTTTTCCATCGTCATCAATTGAACTCTCAACCTCCACTCGTTCTTCTGCCTCGGAATCGAGTTGTTGTGCTTGAGATAGCATGTTATTACTTGGAAGAGGAGGAGCAGGAGGCGAAGCAGCAGGAACATTTACAGACTTGCAGCAAGCACCATCCTTCTTCTCTTGCGACTCGGTGTGTATGTCATCCGAACTAGCAAATCGCCTCAATTTAACCTTCCTGTAGTAAATAGCACATTTGAAAGTGACATTCAACAATCTGTTGATTGTAAACTGAGAAATAAAGAACTTTTAGACATTTACAAATAACTTTGATGACAAGAAGTGTCAGGCAGTAACTTTAACCTACATTAGAGAGGCATTCTCCAACAGTTTGGAGCGTGTTGCAGCATACCAAACTCGAAGCCATCGAGGATTGTGTCCACCTGGGCCTTGTTTGCTTCCACGTCGTGAGATCTGTGGATCAGCCTTCACTCGAGGTGGGGAGTGATTTGCAGATGGACTGGAGACATTGACAGTACCACAATGTTTGCATGTAAATTTGGCCTCTGTGTCCCTACTTTGACCCTCTCTCGACTGAGAGCGTTGAGTACTTCGTGATGGAGGCAATTTTTTGGCAAAGTTCTCTACACTGAATGGTGTATTGCCACGACTTCGTTCGTATATCAGACGTCTGTACCGATTTCGTTCTCTAAATGCAACAACAAGGCACAACACAGAAATTTAAATCGCCAGACGTTTACAACATTGACAAGGTGGTTCACATACTGTGTGACTCTTTGTTGTTCTCTTTCGAGCTCCTCGGTGAGAGCTTTTAAGTGACTGCACAACTGATTCACTCGATGCAACTTCTCCTCGTAGTTCTGACGAATGCTTTGCGCATCCTTTAACTCCTGTCGTCGTTGACGCATCAGTGAAATTTCCAGCTTCGGTGCTCGTGATCCCTCCTTCAGAAGGTCCTACAAAGTTGAAGCCTTCCATTACCTTCCTGGCACAAATAACAATGGATTGGACTTTCCTTTTTTAAAGACAAGAAAACTAAACTTTTAAACTTCACGATTCGGTGTCATAAAGTACGTCCGATCAAGTGCATTCACTTTTGATAATGAAGTAGACTTTGAAGAGAGCACCACAAAAGTGTACCAGAGAATAAACAATTAAAATTACTCAATGCAAACATCACAAACCATCAATTGAAGGTGAATTTCTTCTTGCCACAATTCTCGTAGATTGGTAAAATTTTCATCCTTCCATTGAAGCAATTCAGTACAGGCTAATTCAAGTTGAGAAAGTATTTGAGGAAAACTGGGTCGATTTCTTGGCTTTGGTGACCTGTGCGACAAACAGCAACAAGGTTGTAAGACACGAAAGATCCCACTTCAGAAGCCTAGATCTATCGCCTTTGTTCTTCTCTCTCTCCACCTCCCTCACCTCACCTCCATGGCTTCCAACCCATGAGATTGGTGGATGAAAGACCTGACAATACTGGACCTTTAAATGCGATCGCGATTTAAGGGGTGAAAGAAGATGGAATCAAGGCTAATGACAATCCCTATGCAAAAAAAATGAGATTAAAAGGAAAGAAGTGGATCTTCCATTCAGACAGATGGCCCAGCTTGTATATGGATGGAGGGAGGCAAGGAGACGAGGAAAAAAGGACGTCTACAGCTACAACATCTATAACCTACCAACAACGTTTCATGAGCACCCGAAACTCAGTAGGACAGGCAGTGGGAATGGGAAGGCTGAAAAGATTGCTTGCAATCCCATAAATAATGGCGCCACAGTCAACGCCATTGAAGGGCACCTCACAGGTTAATATCTCCCACACAATCACACCAAACGACCTGTAAAAGGGATTGCTAAGCCTTGTTCACACAGTTCATCGTTGTGTGCACAAATGTAACCAAGGTGAGCCTTACCAGACGTCAACCTTGAAAGAGCAAGGCTCTCCACGCATTATTTCCGGTGCCATCCAAGCAACGGTGCCAGCAAAGGACATTTTAGTGGAGTTTTCAGTAAACTCTTTGGAAACGCCAAAATCCGATATTTTCAGGGTTCCATCCTCACTTATCAAGATGCTGTATAAATCAAAATTAAATAAATAATATCAGTAAAATCACTTAGTCCTTTTTAGTGCAATCATTGAATGTGTCAAAGTTGCACAACTCACTTTGGTGATTTTAGATCGCGATGAACTACTTTGTGACTGTGAAGGTAATTCATTCCTTGAGCAATTTGTTGAGTCCAGTCAATTATGTTGTCAATGCTGACTGGAGGGTTGTTGTGAAGGAGGTCGAAGAAGGTACCATTTGGACAGTACTCCATGAGAATGGAATACCAGGGACCGTCAATGGAAACCCCACTGATGCAGAGAGAAGAGGAATGAAAAATACACACGCATGTTAAACCAGCGCCCACTGTGATAGACATGAAGATGCAAAAGGCATCAACATAGCCTGGGGATAAATATAGTTGTGTACTTGAATCAAGAAGGGGCAATTTTGATTGGTTGCTAGCCGCCTACTAATTCTGCCCAACTTTGAGGCTGTACAAGGAAAGGCGACTACGCAAACGTCTAACTGGTCTAAGCTGATGCAATGTGTGGCAGTCGAATGGCGCTGCCTCCAAAAAAAGCTCTCCCTCTCTCGCCCTCCCGCCCTCCTTTCCTATCGCGAATCGCTATTTGTCGTCGTGTTCTCTGCTGCATACATCACAAATCGAGCGACACCTGCTCTACCAAACCTCAGACCTATTGCAGCACAAAACCACTGGCAAGCAAAGAATTCACCAGTAGTAACTAAAAATATCTGGTTAACTGGTTTAAGTAAAAAAAG